AGTTCTTATTTTGGTGTTTGACAGTTGGAAATCTATGTTTCTATTGATCTCTTGCCTTTTTTCTTTGCTTTCTTAGTCTGGAGTATGCGAGTAAAAGTTTCTGCAAATACCCTTTCATCTCTCCAGCCCTGAAGCTACAGAGACAGTTACGCTGAATGCCCTGTTGGGTACTGAGCACTGAAAACTGGGATGTTCAAAGTATCTCATTTCTGTCTTTGTCTGTTTCTTTTAGAAAATAGTCTGCATCATCTTCCTCCTTTGCTTACGCTGTGTAGTACTTCCCTTTTCTTTGTCTGAGCTTATGTATCTGTTGCTTTGAACTGCATGATTAGAGAAGTCTAAGGTTGGAAACTCCTCCATCTGTTCTTGTGACTTGATGGAAGCAGGTGTGCATAACTGCTGTCACTAAGTTGGATTCAAATGGAGGTAATGCTTTAAATTGATGCCCTGTGAGGGTGCTGAGGCACTGGCACAGGGTGCCCAGAAAAGCTGTGGCTGCCCCATTCCTGGCAGTGTTCAAGGCCAGGTTGGATGGAGCTTGGGGGGGGGGGTAAAATATCAATCAAGAACACTACAGATGGTAAGCAAAACTCCAGTCATTGTCAATCTTGCATATTCTGAAGTCTAAACAGCATGTGAGCTTTTAGTGATTTTATTCATAAATCTGTCACTTGCATTTTTTTGACAACTGAATATTTTTATTAACAACCAGAATGTCTGAGGCTATTGAACGTAACATTCTTTGTGATGTGTATCAATCATATTAGATGCACTGTGAAACTCTTGTACTGTTTCTTTTGAAGCCATGTAGATTTCGGTTAGAAAACTGCAGTGTATGAAAAGAGTGAAGGCTAAGTCTGCTTACCAAACAAAATGATTGTTTTCCACAGGTCTCTCCTTACAAGTAGTTGAAGCTGTTCATGAATAAGGCAATAAGCACTGCTAAAGCATAAGCTTAAAATGATGGATAACACACTGCTAATGTACCAGCTTTATGTGGCAACTGTTCGTGTTGTAGAAATATGAAGAGTAGTATAATGATAAAACAGTAAAACCCTTTTTCTCTCTCGTTACAGTTCGCAAGAGGAGGGTTGAAGGAGACATCTAGCAGATCTTGTCAGAACTGTGATTTCAAGGGTCGTCCAGGCACGGTCATCACTCTGGGCTTTGGCAATGTTGGACTACATTTACCTGGGTTAGAAGGGAAAAGACTGGAAACCCCATTCCTTTTAAAGCAAAGCTATATGAATAATCTGCTGGTATACATCACTTTTTTCAGATTGAGACACAGTAACTGCACCAGTTCCTGTACCACAGTCTTTGATTGGGTTTTTTTAAGAACTTTTTGTATTTCAAGACTTTGGCTGTACTTTCTCCTAAAAATGTAATTGCAAATCAATGTTATAATTGTCTGTAGTCAAAGAATGGCGCATTCAGAGTCACTGGTCAGATAATGACCTAATTGAAATGTTTGTTAGAAAAATCTGGGGGTGCTTATTTACATGGAGGGGTGTGTGTGTGCTTGGAAACAATGCATTAGTGATAAGGGATTCTTCACACAACAGTTAGTCTCATTGTGTAGAGCTATTCAGCCTTGTTCATGCACTGAAGAGAAATCTTTCACAGCTATCTCAGTTGTAATTCTACTTTTTATTAGTTCTTCATACTGTGACTAATTAAAGACATCCCTTTAAACCTAACAAAAATAAATCGGCGAAGGACTTTTTTCCAAGAGATTTGAGAGACTAATAAAAAAGTGGAAGCCTTGAAATAATAATAAAAACCAGTAGATGCCTTGCAAAATAAGTTTCTCTATTACACCTAAGCCTTGAAAGTCTTTTTCAAGAGATGCCATGACTATATCTTGCTCTGTATCTGAACTGGATATAGTTTTAGATTGATTTCATGTGTTCATCAGCATTTAGTTTATATTCCTTGTTTAAAAATCTTTATCTACATTCATAAGTATCAATTTCTCTAGAAGTAGTGGACATGTGGTGTGGTTTGTTTTTTTTTTTTTTAATTCTGCATAATTCTGTACAGAAAAAAAATCCCGTGACTGTAAAACCACTGCTCCAATTCGCTGGCAAATGGAAAAATCCTTTTTTTCAAGCTGCTGCATTAAGCTATCAGTACTTCATATAAATCTGTCATTTTTGTAATAAAATAATGAAGTAACACTTTTAAGAAAGGATTTTTCTATTCTACTTATGTCTTGATGTTGAAACACTACATAAGACATGCAGAAATCAATATGCAGTGTCAACTCAGTATGATGTATTTGAAGTTCTGTATCTAAGCAAATTAATAAGGCAACAAGAATCACTTCAACTTCTGTACATAATCACAGTAGACTGATACAATATGAAAACCTAGAGGCTTTTTGGCGCAGATCAGTTTGTCCTATACTAGTTTGCTCACTGTTGTCACAAGATCACAAAAATGTTCTTTAGGACTGCTCAGTAATCTTTCTAGTGACAGAAAATTCAACTGACAACCGTTTTCATCAGAGGATTGTAACATGGGGAGCATTTTATGTATAGAAAACATTGGCCTGAGATTTTTGCATCAGGTTGTATATACTTTAAAATTTAACAGAGCAACTCCTTGACACTCTGCCCACCTTGTCATTTGCTGCAGATCTCATTTGGGATCCTTAAAGACAGACTTTACTCCAGAGGTGACTTCAAATTTTACTGCAACTGTACCGAGAATTTTAAACCATAGTGCCTTCAGTGAGGATTTATATAACTGGTTTATACGTGTGGAAGAGCAGTTTTCCTATTTCAAAATCAGCCTCTTATTATAAATGTGTGCTCTGAAAAGCAAGTCAGTATTAATTCTGTTAAAACCAAAGACAATCTCTAACTTCGAAACAATCAAACTATCTGACTTGTAACAGAAAGGGCTTTGTTTGGTTTTGGCTTTGTAAATTTTCAAGAACTGTTTAGATTCTGAAATGCAAGTTCTTGTATAGTATACATAAAGTCACAAATTAAGTGTCTTTTTACAGGCAGTGCGTATAAACATGGCCAAAGCATGTCATGTGCCAACTTGCCTAAAGCTCTGCTACTTATGTGCTAGGCACCATAATCGTTTTGTGTCAAAAACCAGACTGTAATATCTTCCTTCATTTGTTGAAGGGCTGCATGGTCGTGGAATCTGTTCATGTATTGTGATTCTATGATGATTTGTTGTTATCAAAGAAATTAGGCAGTCATCTGCTTGAACATGGAGAAAATTAATATGAAAATGAATGAAAATCCCTCCCTTAATTAAATCAAGATAGCTGCTTAATGATTTATATTCCAATCAAAGGCAGGGGCTTTTAAGCTGCAACTCAGGTGCATGGTCAGAGGTGATAGTAGTAGACCTTAATAATGAATTTAGTTCTGTAGACAGCAGCTGAGCATTTGACTCCTTATTGGCACTTTCAGGACAGCTATCTGACAGGCTGGGCATAGAGAACAAGTTTGGTTTATTTTCAGCCAGAAGGGTTTGGCCCTCCAAATTGGTGCGAGGCGTGGCATGGTGCATGGACCACTTAACAGCCATCACCCTAGTGCCTACAGTGTGTATCCTCATTGGAATAAATGAAGGAATTCAGTCTAAACGCTCTCAACAAGCAAAGCGAATGTGCAACCTGGTCCAGTGTGAGGTGTCCCTGCCCATGGCAGGGGGTTGGAACTGAATGATCTTTAAAGTGCTTTCCAATCCAACCCATTCTATGATTCTATGTAATGCTATCAAATGTAGTGAGATCTTGTGTATGACTTCATTATTTATGAAGGCAAAAGGGTATTTGGTTACCAGCTATCATAACGACACAATCTTTTTTTCTGAAAGAGGTGATACTTTTTTCCTCCTGATTATATTTCAGGCTTAAAGCAGAAGTCAAATGACCACATGTATTGGTATATTGACTCTGTTGGTTCAAAGCTAAGCATAGAAACATACCCTATATTCCAAAGCAATTACCTATTTACTTTTGTATTTTAAAGTAACAGCCTTATTCTCTCTACAGCTTGAATAATACTGTTTGTAAGCTACAAACGAGCAAGTGTTCAATTTAAATTTCCATTGAGGAAACATGAATTGAGTGTTTTAGCATATCAGCACTATATGCTGTCAGATTGTAAACCAGTGACAGTTTTGGATGATTAAAGTACTGTATTCTTGTTGTGGTTTGGGGATTTTGTTTGGTTTGTTTAAATGTTACCTTGACTTGCTGAACATTGACCCTTGTGTTTATGTTGTTACTTTCTCCAGTAGCAAGGTGAATGCCCTAATGGCATTTGTGGAAGTAAAAGGCTACTGCTGGGCAACTCAGTAGTTCACAGAGCAGGCAGCAGGAAGATGAGTTAAGAGCCCCTAATGGAGTTAACAGCATATTGTTCATGCCTGCTCAGTGCACACAAGAAGAAAGGGCGGGGCACGACGTTAGGCTGCCTTGTGCAGCCTTGCGGCAGCCACAGTTGGCAATGGGGGCTCTAGAGGTGCAGGCATCAGGTTATGCTCCCTGTGTCGGACACACTGGGTCACTGTCCGTGTCTCCGGTGAGTGGGCAGTGCCTCACCCACAGAAATGGGTGGGTTGCGCTCATCTCCATTCACTGTCAGTGTTAAACAGGAGCCAGGTCCAACCGCAGCGTGGTCGCTAAGCGGGGAATGGGTGGAGCGCTTGTATGTAACGGCGATAGCGTTAGGGCAGGGTGACCTGTACTCCGCAAGTGCGGGCAACGGGAGGTCGGAGTTCTGCTCCAAGCCTCGGGCTCTGACAGGCCCTATCGTGTAGCTGCAGCCACATCCGCCCTCACCGTTTCCTCGCGAGGACACTGCGTTAATAAATGATTCGCGGGGAGGCGCCGACACGCGTTTACCTCCGCTGCCATCGGTAACGGCCGCGGCACCCGGCCCCTTTAAGAGGCGCCCCCCCCCCTCCCGGTTTGCCTCAGCCGCCGGCGCCGCGCCACGCTCCGTAGTCGCGTCGCTGCGTGTTTGCATCACGGAGCGGCGCCGGTGGTGTGGCGGCGGGCGCGCGGGCCGCCATGGCGGACATGGAGGATCTCTTCGGCAGCGACGCGGACTCGGAGGCCGAGCAGAAAGGTGCGGGGCGCCGCGCTCCCCTCGCTGCCCGCCCGTCCTGCGGCGCAGAGTAGGCCGCGGGGGCCCGCCGACGGGCGGCCCGATCGGGTAACGGACCGCTGCGGTGTGCCCCGGGCCTCCGCTGCGCGCCGGCGGGGCTGGGCGGAGCGCAATGGACCCCGCTCTGCGGTGGCTGCGGTGCTCCTATGGCCGCGGCCGGGGAAGCGGGGGGTAACAGCCACAAGCAGAGCGCGCTTTGGAACGTGATAGCGCCTTATCGGAGCGCTGCGGGCGCGGGGAGGTGGAGGCATGGGGGGTGCCCGGTTTGCCCCTCGTTATCTTGAGACTCTGTCCCCATTGTCCATGCTGAAGAGCTGTCATCATCCTGTAAATGAAAACAACACACGGAACAGCTCCCGATTTAACTCATTTGTATGTTTTTAAAGTGCCTGTGTCAACTTCTGTAAATTACTTTGCAAGGCAAGTGTTCCTTTTTTCCCCTGTTTGAAACAGCACCTGCCAACCTCAGCATTCAAGAGCAGCTCCATTGTAACAGGCGTGTCAGGGTACCTCATATAGCTAGCTTGGGTGAAAGGCATGATGGCAGGTTCACGTTTGTAGGATCTCATATGCATGTATTTATCTATTTTAAACCATCAGTATTTCGAATTTTATTTTCGTTTGTATAATTGCTTATTCAATAGCTTCTGGTTTGAAACTATGCAGCACCCATCATTTTCATTGTGTCTTTCATTGGCTTTGCCTTTATTAGACATTCTATTTTACTGTTTTAGGTGACTTTTATATGTCTTTCTTAACATTCATGGTAGGTTCTCTCTCTGGATTTGGTGGTTTTTGTTTGTTTTAAAGCAAAGCCCAGCATCTTATGTGTATCCTTGTGGGGACATTTAAAAAGTGATATTTGCTTTGCAGATTCGGACTCTGGATCTGAATCTGATTCTGATCAGGAGAACGCTGGCTCTGGTAGTAATGCCTCTGGAAGTGACAGTGACCAGGATGATGATAGAGAGGCAGTAAAACCTAGTAATAAGGAGTTATTTGGAGACGATAGTGAAGATGAAGGGGCATCCCATCACACAGGGAGTGACAACCATTCTGAAAGATCCTACAATCGCTCTGAAGCTTCAGGACATTCTGAGCATGAAGATAATGATCAGTCGGATGTGGACCAGCACAGTGCTTCAGAAGCTGCTCATGATGATGAGGATGACGATCGCGGGCATGGGTCTGATGAAGGCAGTCATCATTCAGAGGGAGATGGCTCTGAAAAAGCACATTCAGAGGATGAGAAGTGGGGCAAGGAGGACAAAAGTGATCAGTCAGATGATGAGGAGAGGCAGCAGAACTCTGATGATGAGGAGAGACAGCAGAACTCTGACGATGAGGAGAAAGCACAGAACTCTGATGAAGATGAAAGGCCGCAGGTATCTGATGATGAGGAAAGGCTCCAGAACTCAGATGAGGAGAAAATGCAGAATTCTGATGATGAGGAGAGGCCACAAGCCTCAGATGAGGAGAAGATGCAGAACTCAGATGATGATGAAAGGGCCCAACACTCTGATGAGGAGAAAGTACAGAACTCTGATGATGATGAACGGGCCCAGCATTCTGATGAGGAGGACCAAGAGCACAAATCTGGTAGGATGGAATGCAGTAGTAATGATTTGCTTCTGGTTTGATCTCTCTTTATTGTTTCAATTATATTGGCCTGAAAAGATTCAGGCCTCACTGTAAAGGCGTTAATCATGTACAATAATCATGTACTTTCAACTACAGTCATCTTTGTCGTGTTTTTTTTTTTTTATGCAGCACTTTTAAATTCCTTTTCATCTGAATCAACTTTATTAATACAAAGGAATTTAAAACTATGTGGAACAAAATATTTAATATGCTGAGAATAATTGTGCTCCTCAGTAGAGTCTGCGAGGGGCAGTGACAGTGAAGATGAAGTCCTGCGAATGAAGAGAAAGAAACCCATTGCTTCAGATTCAGAAGCAGACAGTGATACAGAAGGACAGAAAGGTAAATGGTGGCATTGTTCTGTGGGGGTTTGGTTCCTTTAATCCCCATTTTAAGCATGACTGCTTACAGAACTTGATGAAATTGATAGTGCTCGAGAGACTGTAACTGCAGTGCCATGGAAATAAGAAAACAGCACAGCAAGAATTCTCTGTGGGGAAGTACATGCTGTATTTCTCCTAATTATCTCTAGGTGGCTTTATCAGGGTTTCTGTTTTCTCTATGAGAGACAGAGTTTCTCTTTTGTGGATGTTGTTTCACACATTTTTACTGATGGTGTTAAGAAATGATGCCTCTAATCAGAGCAGCCCAGAGAACCCTTTCGGGTTTGTATGATGTTTAGCTGGCTGAGAAAGAGCTGTTGACTCTTCTGAAAAGTAAAGCCTTCAAAACATGTTAATGAAGTTGCTGGTGACATATATTTGTTTACTTGAGGAAAGGATGATCTTACACCCTTAATTCTTCTGTTGACATTTTTTGACTAGATTCTCTTACTTGATAGAGCCTTTCCAGGAAAACATACCTTGAATCCTCAGCTTAAAAATACAGGGGAAGACTGTTCTTCAGGATAAGAGAACAGTATGGGCTTCATAAATATTAGTCATTTCTAACCTTTGTAGGTGATTTTAAGTGCAATGAAAGTGAGGGATGTGTTAACTTTTTTTCCTGTAAGTGTGCTTGCATATAGGGGTGTGTGTATACATATATGTGTATTTTAAAATAGCATTTTTTCTGCTCAAGAGCATGCAGATGTCATGGATCTGTTTGGAGGTGCAGATGACATTTCATCAGGGAGTGATGGAGAAGAGAAGCCACCAACTCCAGGGCAGCCCATTGTGAGTAGATTTGACTTTTGAAATAAGTCTGAAACATGCTGTTCCACTCTGAAATGTATAAGGCTAATTATGGTAATATTTTAGTGAAAAAGAGTAACAGCATTAAGCTGAAAACTTTATGTCAGCTCCTTTACTGTTTCCTTACTGTATTTTGGTCTCTCAGATTTACACTGGTATTTGCAATCACTTTTAAATGGCATATGAAAATGCTGACTTGAATTGCTTTCACTGAAAACTTTCGATTTCTTTTACCCAAAGCTTCCTGATCTCTTTCTCTGTGCACATGGATGACATTTCTTTAAGCTAATGTAAGTGCTTACTAAAGCAACAATTGCCAGGTAGATGTATTTTCACTTATGCTCCTCTTCTGTTTTTCTTCATTAGGATGAGAATGGACTGAGTCAGGAACAACAGGAAGAAGAGCCTATTCCAGAGACTAGAATAGAAGTAGAAATACCAAAAGTAAACACAGACTTGGGTAATGATTTGTATTTTGTGAAGCTGCCCAACTTCCTTAGTGTGGAGCCCAGGTAATTGAACGTTAAGTACGTGCTTGATAAGGTTTTTTTAGTGGGTCCCTATACTACTTTTGATTTAGTAATACAGTTAAATATGTTGGCCATATTTAAAATGGTTGACATTGAGATGCACACTTTTGGTTGTGATCAGTCAATAGTAATATATATTGCTGTTACTTAATCAAGTGCTGAGTGATTTCTGATGAGCTTGGGTTTCAGCTTGATTTAATAACCTTTTGTATTTGAAATACAAACAAAAATATGATTTAACTGAAAGCATGTCCTATTTCCGTTGAATCTTAAACATAGGTTCAGGCTCCCAGATGTATAAAAGCTGAATGGGCAGCATCTTTATGCACTTTTGAGGGATAAAAACATCATTTTCAATTTTTGAATGAGCCCTTATTTGCAGATGCTAAATGTGCTGTTTAACTATGAAGGGGCTGGTTACTCATTTTCCTGTTTACCTTACTAAAAAATTTTTCTGGAATTCATAAGGAGAAACGAAGTCAATTATTAGAATTGTTTGTGGTATTAGGTTTGGTCCTAAATTCCACCTTCTAGCAAAGTGCTGTCAAAGCCCTCTCTTGAAGTGTTTTTGTGAAGCAGATTCACTGCACTGCTTAACTGATGTCTTGTTGTGTAGCATTGGGTTTGTTGGACAGTAGCTAAATCATTCTTCCTGGCTTTCTTCTGTAGACTTTCAGGAGAGAACTGTTAAGAATCCAGTTAGTGGCTCTATTCAGAGAAATCCTGGGGAATTTTGGGGGTCACACAGGACTGAAAATAGGACTGTACAGTAGCAGAGTCTTTATCACTTCTCTCCTTTGCAGCAGTCTGGAAACCATTAGGAAGGAGGCTAGGGAATGACCTTCCCCTACTCACACCCAGCCCAGTTGTCAGGTTTGTTGGAGGAGGAGAGGAAAACCAATCTCATTTTCCTTTCCCTTTGATGGGGTTTGAGATTCAAATTAAAAACAAATGGCTAAGGTTGTCCTCTCAGAAAATCCCTAATTCACCACATTTATAAAATGGTATTTTTCTTTTTATTTTCTCTGTACAATATTGTATAGATTTTGTTCCAGACCCTAACCTTATTATCCTGATGCTAAGGAAACAGTATTTTCTGAGGCACACTTGCTTTCTTTAGCTAGAGCCATTTAGGGGGTCTGAATGTTCAAGCGGCTGTAATGGATGGTAGTGAAGATGCTTGGGCAGGCCTCCTGTGGTGTTGAATCAATGCAGTAAATGACATTACTGCAGAAATGGCTGTCTCACAGCTTCAGTGCCTACTGTTGTGTGCAGTGTATGATTTCAGCATTTCAAGCACCTGTTATTTTCACAACTCTGGAATCATCTGGATTAATTTTTAGAAGACTAAAGACTATTATGTAATTTATTGCAGACCTTTTGACCCCCAGTATTATGAAGATGAATTTGAAGATGAAGAGATGCTTGATGAAGAGGGTAGAACTAGGTTAAAACTCAAGGTATAGTGTTAAGTTTCCTTATATCTTTTACACTAATCTAGACACTTTTCTTCAAAGTCTGTTTCAGGTGTTTTAGAATGGTGTTTTGAGTTTTGGTTCAGATTATGAAAGTGTGGACAAGGTCAGCATTGAGGAGAGTTGGTCCATTCTAGTAATAAATAAAAAAAGCTTTGCAGCTGCATTTCCCCTATAAAAGCAGTACCTTTCACTTTCATTTCCTTGCATCCTGCAGCAAATGATCTAGCCTTTCTAACTGTAATTACTGACCTGTACAGAGTATATTTTACCACAGTCTTCCTTACTGTGAGTTCGAAGCAGTGTTTTGTATTTTTTTCCCACAGGTAGAAAACACAATACGATGGCGGATGCGACGAGATGAGGAAGGGAATGAGATCAGAGAAAGTAATGCACGGATAGTCAAGTGGTCAGATGGAAGGTTAGTTTGGACTTTGTGCTGTTCAAGGAATACAGTTGTTATTCCAGTGAAATGCTCTGGCTTGCAAAATTGGAAGGTCAACAAATCTTGATACCACTTCTGCACAGCAGTAATTCCTTTACTCTCACTGCTTTGGAAATGTTATGCTCTGGTTAGTTTGGATTGAAATATAATTATTGGCTGTATTTGAAAAGGAAACATGAGGCTTTCTCCATTTAGAAATGAGGCAAAAAATAGGCTGTGGGGGCCTTATCAAATAATTGATATATGAATCTCTTTTTAGCATGTCTCTTCACTTGGGCAATGAAGTCTTTGACGTGTACAAGGCGCCATTACAGGGAGATCACAACCATTTGTTCATCAGACAAGGGACAGGTCTACAAGGACAGGCTGTTTTCAAGACAAAATTAACCTTCAGGTAAATGTGCTATTCTGTATCAAATGTTGATACTTCCTATGCAATTAAGTGCTGTAACTGGTATATAAAGATTAGAAATACTACTTTCTAAACTTGCAGAGTGTAACTGTTTAGTAAGGATGTGCTATTTTCCAAAGTCAGTATTTCAGTAAGATTTTCCTAAATCAGGTGTTCCTGTTTGAAAGGTTAATATGCCATTCACTGCACTATGCAGGCTACATGTATTGTTTTATATATATTTTAATTTACATTTTTAAGTGTAGGTCCTCATCTGAATCAGAATATTCTCTGAAATTAACCTTTCATCTGATGCACAGTCGCTGTCAAGATGATGATTACATCCTGGGCTGTTGATGTGAAATGTGAGGATGATTGTTTAGGCTGGACTGCACGTGCTTTGTTGAGAGAGGAACTGAGGTCCCCAGTAGCTGTTACAATGCACATAAACAAATAATAATAAAACAAGGATGATGTGGAGGTGAATCTTTGAAATCTTAAGTATGCTGGTCCAACTGATGTTTCTTGAAGAAGTATTTAACCCATAGCTATTTTTTAACAGGCCACACTCTACAGACAGTGCCACTCACAGGAAGATGACTCTGTCTCTGGCAGATAGATGCTCAAAGACCCAGAAAATCCGTATTCTGCCAATGGCAGGTCGGGATCCAGAGTCTCAGCGGACAGAAATGATTAAGGTATTGCGGCAGGGAGGTCTCTTATCTGATGATTTAATCTAAAAAATCACAATCCTAATATAGCTGAGCATTTTGTGACTTTATGAAAAACTGAGTGTATTTTGGAGTTACAGACAAGAGTTGTTAGCCATGGGTGCTTAACCTTACATATTACAAAATAAATCAGTACAGCAGTCTTCACACTGCTGAAACGTTACTTCAGAAGTTAGAGTAGAATACAAGTTCCTCTTGAGTTGGTTTCATTTGTTTTTTTTTTTCCCTCAATATATTCCTTGTTTCTTTGGACAGAAAGAAGAGGAGAGGTTAAGAGCTTCCATTCGCAGAGAATCTCAGCAGCGAAGAATGCGGGAGAAGCAGCATCAGCGTGGTCTGAGTGCAAATTATTTGGAACCTGATCGCTATGATGAAGAGGATGAGGGAGATGATGCAATCAGTCTAGCAGCTATCAAAAATAGATATAAAGGTGGCATCAGAGGTAATAATAAACCTTAACAGTATGTAAGTAGGGCCTGTGTGATTCATATGGATTAATTTCTTGGGAGAGTCCTGCTAAAGTTGCATTTTGCCAGTTCATTTGATACATGAGCAGACGTGAGTTGAGTTTGTGTAAGTTTATTTTGTTTCCTCTGGACTTGGATTTTGCCAGCTTTCTGGGGGACTAAATGTGGGAGAATTATTTTTGATATTACCTCTTCCGCACCATTTCAGCTAAATATTTGTCTTCTAATTTTTTCCTGCAGAGGAACGTGCTAGAATCTACTCTTCTGACAGTGATGAAGGCTCAGATGAAGATAAAAATCAAAGACTGCTCAAGGCAAAGAAACTTACTAGTGATGAGGTAAGAAAAGGGTTTTGGTCTTAAGCTTCTAATTTTCAGTCAGGAACATTTCTTGCATTAAATCTGTTTTTTTTAAAGCTGAGACTTTTGTAGTTTAATTTCTGCTTTGATTAGTGTATTATTTGACTTGGCATGCTTTCCATGGCAATTAATCACCAATTTCTTACACACTGCATCAGTTCATAGACCTGAGCGATTCCCAAAGGAGGTCACTATTGTTATTGCTGATTTAAAGATGGAAAAAATTATGCAGTTATGTAAAATGACTTTACCAAAATTATGCAGGAAGTAAGACGAGTTAATATCTGTATCCTAATGCAGTGTTACCTCCTAAGCTACATGGTCCTCTCCTGTTTATTATGTAAACAGCAGAAGCATTTTCACATAGCATTTCTTCACTTATTAAACAGAAGAGCTAAAAAAAAAAAGAGTAAAGTAGAAGAGTTAAGATCCATTGCTACATAAATGTTATCCATCCCCAAGTACTATCCTAAACATTAGGCCATGGTCAAGTTAACTGCTAGCTACAGCGGTAGTGCTGTTTCCTCTTCTAAAATTGTGGCTTATTGGTTCATAATTTATCACTGCTGGGCTTAAGCAGATGAATCTTTGTGTGCATCATGTCTTGAGGCTTAGTTCATTTCAAGTAATGTGACTTCTGACAGAGCACTGCAGTGTATCACTTTCCAAAATTAATAGATGCCATTTCTGAGATTAAAACTTAACTAGCTGCATCCAGTGGCAGAAGTGGAACCAGGAAGTAGATGGACTCTGTCCTGTATCAGCTGTACCTGTGTAGTCTGTTTTCCTGACACTTGCTTCTCATTGTAAAATGCCTCTGTGGCAAAGAGCCATAGGGCTTTTATTGTATACCTTGGGAAGCTGAAAGAAGAGGGAATTTTGGAATTCATGACAAATGGCAGTTGATGCTGGCTTCCCACTGCCCTGTTCAAGAGGGCATTGGATTGGGTCAGGTGTTTGGCCTACTTGGTTTTAGTAGCCCAGGAGTTTGCTTTCCTTTAGACATCACCACTTCTGTACTACTGTAATCTTGCTCTTGATCAGTATAGTGCAGCCCTGAGTTGCAGCTGTGCTTGCATTGCTCTCAAGCCAAGATTGGCTTAGGAGTGGCAGTTTGGACACACCTGGCTCTGCTGATAAGCGCCTTCACTTATGTGGCAGAATCATAAATACAACCTAACTTAGGTAACAGGCTCTTACTACTACCTTGTAGGCATGAGAGATGTTTCTACATTGGCATGTTAGTTTGATTAATCTTCCTGCCCTGTTTTGCTGTTTGTCTTTCAGCTGATTTCCTACAGTCACCTCTAGTGTGCTATTTTAATAGCTGCTGAAGTGGCTAAAACCGTATCCTTGAATTTTAGAGGTTTCTGCATTATAGCCTCTCCTTAACAGGTCTAGTCAACAGTATTTCTCTGCTGCTTGAGGAACAATAGCCTCCATTTTAAAATTAGATGACTTACAGGTAATATTCCCATCAGGGCCACGGAGGGGTGCTACAGTGTTATGAAAAAAACCCCAGGATGAATCATGACTGCTTACTTTCCGTTACCACGTAGGAAGTATGGTATTTGTAATATGTATGCACATACATGAAACACTGACTTCCTCATACACAGACTTTTATGTGCTGTCAGTCAACAATACAGCACAAATCTTTGTCCTGATAATTTGTTACCATTACTGAAAACATCAGTCTGCTATGAATACATTTTATCAGCACACAGCAGGTAGTTTTACTGTTACTGTAGTTAATGGGCATATTTTGTTAACCAGGAAGATGAATCATTTAACAATAGCCTGGCTAGATTACAAGAGAATGCTTGTTCTGAGGAAGAAGCTATCATTGAGATTCCCACCCCTGCTTATAGCTGTTTCCGTGCTTAAAATTCCTTTCCTAGGTTCTCACTATGTTAAGTTAATATAGAATAAAATGCTTTAAATAAAAACCATTAAAGTTCTGAAGCTCCAATAATTTGTTAAATTTCTGAAGCTCAGTCTTTGCTGCTGCTTAAAATCTGAGCAATATGTGTTGCTTTAAAAAGAAATCTACCAAAAAACCCCACCCCAAACCAACAAATGCAGAAAGGGATGAGCTGAAGGCATTTTTAAAATAGTCTTTTTAAACAATAACGGAGTTACCTCTTGTACTTCATGTCAAAATGGATGAGTTTTACATTAATAATTAGTGATTTGTAGTTTGATTACACATTTTCATTGCATTCTGTTTTAAAATGTTTGGAAGGAGGCTTTAAACTGAGCTCATGTAAATGCACATGGAATAAAAATCAATCTGTTGACACTATATTTATTTGCTAAAAATTGGACATCCAGCCTATAAAATCATTATGGTATTGCTTGCAAACAGGTAACTAATTCAGTAATTTGAGTTCTTTTGACTAGCTCTTTGAAAACTCCTGAACCATTATATTTCTTGGAGTGTAAACTGTAATGTTAGTTCTCAGTACTAGCAATTTCTCATCAGTCTTCTTCCTGTATGCCAGAGAGTGATTAAGTTGCTGATTTGGATTAATTTTTTTAATGAACAAACAAAATGCTTACCTGCTTACTGAACTTCTTCTTTGCCTCAGTAGCTCTGATTTAGGGCCTACAAGTTTTGGTAGTCTGAAAGCTAAGCAAAGCTGCCTGAAGGGAAAGCTTCTACATGTTGAAAAGTTCACTACAAATTCTAGGAATTACCCGTGCTTGTAAGACTTACTGAGAATGATATTGCACATTCCATTAATCCAGATTATGACATAAATCACTTCCATGCCATAGTTCAGCTTGAAGCTGATATGGTTGCATGTTTATTGATGTAAGCGGAGCTGCTGATGTATTATGGACCCATTCAGGTTGGGCCTTGATATTGGTAGAAAATGTTTTCTGAATTTAAAGTACTGATCCATAAGCAGTTCTGCATCACAGTACACAAAGTGGAGAATAATTGTGCTCTTCTTACAAGAAAGACATTGAGGTCTTTCTGTTGTTCTTCTGAGTCTTCTGTTTAGCTTGAAGTACGTTGAGTTTTGCCCTTTTTTTGCCTTTAGGAAGGTGAACCTTCTGGAAAGAGGAAAGCAGAGGATGATGACAAAGCAAGTAAGAAGCATAAGAAATATGTGATCAGTGATGAAGAGGAAGATGATGATTGAGGAAGCACACAAGTTGATTTTTCTTTTATATATATATATTTATATATATATTGTACAGTTCTCTTACACTGAAGATGTAAGTAACCATAATGGGGTTATTTTGATAAAGGAAAATTCCATTGAAGTCTGAGTTTCTGATGTGAATAAAGTTTTTTGACTTCCTTTTACTTTTTAAGCTTTTTCTCTTACTGCAGCAACTGTTGCACCAAGGATTGTCGCAGTGCTGTTTGTTATCTCAAACAGTACATTTCAGTTTTGAGAACTGTAGTAATTGATTATCCAAGTGAATTAATCAGTGATTTTTACTGTATTCTTCAGGAGAAAACATTCTAATATTTATAGAATGCTTAAATGGAAAGTTTGCCTGACAAGGGTATGGTGATTTTAGCTTACGACTTGTATGGAATGGTTGGAAGAACATATGAGTGGTACAATACAATTCTGGTTTTCCTTATTTTCTGTTGACTGTGGACAGTATATCAATATCCTGGTATATTTTGATGACTAAAAATGTTTGTTACTGTGTTTGAGTAAGCTGTGAAGTTCCTGCAGTTAGGCTAGTTAAATCATCACGTAAGACATTTAATTTTCGTGCATTGAAGCCCAGAATGAAAATCCTTAATATTAATGCCTGAGCATTAATAATAATAACAGTAAGAATAGGCACATGCTAGTGATGTAAATTTCAGAGAAAAAGCACCTATTTAAACAAAAATAAGAAATTTCTGCCCGCAGAGATGAAAGTCTCCTTTAAAAGGTGAAATGAGCCATAATGCAAAAATACATCCTAATAATAGTGGCTCATAATCTCTTATAATCCTTATGGTGCTATTTCCTGTTGTTCCTGCTTGGTTTTATAAATAGATTTGTTTAGCTGGGAAGTCACTGGAGGTGACTGGACAGAATCATTGCTGCTTTTACACTATTTCTAAACACTTTATTTGATGATGCAATTCCACTTGTAAAGTGGGGAAAGGCTACAAGAAATATCTGAACTTTTCCATGCTTTCTTTCCAAGATGAAATATCCCAAATGTAGTTTGTCTCACTGGTGAGAGAGCATTCAGATGTTATCTGTGTTGCTTTTTTAACTGTCTTTACACACAGTCCTATGGAGTTTGATGCGACTTAAATAAGGTAACAGAAAGAAAACAAAGCTAGCTTAATGCCTTTTTAAAAACAGTAGAAGGCAAGTGCCTCAGCATTTTGCTCATGATATCCTCTGGTTCTTTGAGGTGCAGCTTTCAACTTGGACATTTTGGGGTTGTTGTCTTTAATTAGGATAATGGCTTATCAAAGTGCTGTACCTCAGTTTCTCCTGCCTGGAAGGTACAGGGAATGTTCTAGCTGAGGTAGGACAGAGCTCTGTGTTAATGTATTCTGCTGAGCAGCTGACTGCAGTGTAGACATTTGCAAGGATGATAACAAAGTGAAAAATACCAACTCAGGAGTCTGAGTGCCTGAGAAACTGTTGTGGGTTTTTTCTATAATTAAATTGTTATCTAAGAGTTCCTGTGCCTCTTTAATGTGCAGATAAAACCTTTCTCCATCTGCTGGAATTTTGACCCTGTAATCCTCTTAGCTCAGACCTCTGCTGGGAGACTGGTTCCTTACATGAGGTTACCTGCTTTCCATTCGTAACCTTCTAAGGAACAAGCCAGCTGCTTAGAAAGGGACTCATTCTGTATGGATGTAACATATAGTAATAAAAGCCTCCCAGATACTTCTCAAACAACAGATTTGCTGTATGGAACCACACTGCTATTTCACTGGTAATGTGTTTGCTTTTATGTCAGTTCAGTTAAATGTTGACTGTTTTTATTTTGACTACACTCCTAAGAGTGCAGATGTTTCAATCACTTTCATAGGTTTGAGGCTGACTAAGCCTTTCCTAAGTACTCCACTTTAGCTTCCAAAAATTAGGCTTTTTGTGGATTATGAAGATGAAAAGAAGTAATTTTTTTACACTGTTGTCCTTTGTAAATTGCTCTTTTACAATCTTCTTTAGACATGGAATTTTAGAAAATGTTTTCTCATCTTAAATTGGTTTAACAATCATCGTGTAATTAAAGTCACTTGAATGAACTTAGCCTTAGCCACAGTATTTTCATAGTTGTGAGTCTAATGTACAATTTTACTTAGCTCGAAGACAGTTTCTGCTGTCCCTTTTCCCAGCCTCCAGTATTAGAGAAGTACTTGGAATTGTTTCATTTTACCCAAATTAAACATATTAAGCCAAAGGTAAGAGAATGTGGATTGAACAGTGTTTACTCTTGTACTGACTGGTCAGAATACTGCTTCCAGAAAGGGCATGATTTGAACAACTTCCAACAGTGAAAAATTTCTTTGAAGAGCTGATACTAAGCTCTGTGAGTAGTGGATTTTATGGCTAGTGGCAGGATGCAGGATAAACTCTCTTGAAACAGTCACTGAAGGCTGCTCTTGGCTGTATAGTTTTGTGGTTTCAAGTATGTTTTTTAACTTTATCCTGGTTTCCAGTTGTTAATTGGGGTTTTCTTTCTCGTACCTGGTATCATTTTCCACCATCCACTTTTCTCCGTCCTGGCTGTGCAACTTGGCATGGATTTCATGTTTCAGCACACCTGATGGGTCAGGGAGTGCACACTGAAGGGAGCAGCTGCTCCTGCTGCCCCTCACTTCTAGCAGCAGGTTTGGCGATAGGTAGCCCAGCTCAGTGAGTCAACTTGCTAAAGTGCCAGGAAATGTCTTTTCTGCTGAGCTGTGTGTTCTGCCAGGCATGCCTGCAGGACTGACTGCCCTGCTGCCATGGGAGCATCAGAGCCAGCGCAGGGAGTCCATGAAATCAGGGAAGGGAGATCTCTTTGGCAGGGGTAAGCATTGACTTGGCTTTCTTTGAAAACTTACCCTGACCATACAGAATGAAGTGAATAGTTCTCTACTGCTGTAGCTGCCAGAGCTGGCACATTGAAAAGTCATCTGTGCCTCGAGGTGCTGCAAGGGGAAGCAGGACAGATCCTGTATATGGCAGCAAGATTTAGCACAGCTCTAATACGAAGCTGCAGCCTGAGGAATGTGTTAAAACATGAGATGGTGACTTTCCTATGAAGTCATGGGTATTTATTTCTCTGCTTGTAGGCACGGGGGACCTTAGTGTCAGCCCATTCTAGCAGAGTGCCTTTGTTCAACAGCGTTAGACTGCTAATGAAGCTCTCTGGGTGTTGAATGTATAGAGATTGTTAGGTGGGAATGATCGAGATGATCTGTTTCTGATAAAAGTCCTTCTGATTTTTGCTGTGAGAGGTACAATGTCTGACACTTGTGAAACGTAGGTAGGCTGCTGTAACGCTCAGGAACTTGCCTGTAACTTGCCTTGAAGTGCTTCTTGGAGAGCATGTGACTAATACCTGCTGTTGCCTAGTGATGCCCTTTGACTTGAGCTAGGTGTTCTTAATACCTGTCTGGACATGACAGACTTGCAGAAAAGCTGCGAGCTGGTATTGATTACCAGCTTGTATCTTTAATTGCTTTAAAACTCCTGGGCATTCTGGGGAATTGTATAAGCTAAGTAATTGAGAAAATAACAGAAAATGAAGTAAATCTTTGATTGTCTGACACAAAGCCTTTTGATTAAAAATCCTTTGAGAGGAATCCTTTTGAAAAGCCTTTTGGTTTCTTTGGGGTTTTGGTGGTGCTTTTAAATTTTTATGCTTTAAAAACCTGTATGAAGCTTATGGGCTGATACTCGGAAAAAGTCAGCTATTAATGTGGGAGCTTAGCTTCAGAAAGGAGGGTTTTTCCATTAAGGCTTAGTCTCGACGAAACGAGGTGGTAGTGCCAGTTTACCAACAAACGTAACTTTGTGTCTCTGGGTGATGTTGAAATTCACTGGGAAGCAGTTGCAATCATGCAGTTATTGTTAGTCATGAAATCGTATCAGTGTTGTATTTTATATTGTAAATTAAAGGTAAATAAAATCTCATAAAACAGTGGAAGTATTAAGTAACATACCCTCTTTTTTATATCCTTGACTGAGTCAGGTTATATCTCATATCGTTTCGTGTTTTTCCTGTTCTTTGCAAGATGCTTCAGTACGTAACTGTGGAGTTGGGGTGCTAATCTTAACCCAGTGATTTGGCATTTTTCTGAGGTTTTCTTTCCATGCAGTGTAAAGATACATGATAAGCATTCTGTACAGGACAGGTTCTTACAGTAAGATTCCCTACTGATCTTATGATAAATCCATTTTTGGAAAATAGACATGGATACCGAAGGAGCATTCGCATTTTCAACATATAAAGGAAATAAACATTAGGGTTTTGATAGCAGCAATGCCAGCCCTTCCATTCAGGTGTCTTCATTAACATTAACACCACTTCAGTTATTACCCTTTTCCATGCCCACCTTGTCACACTGTGTATGTCAGATCAGTAATGTGTCTTTTGGATTGAATTTTCAGTGTTGTTCCTCTCAGTACTGGTGTTTCTGGTGATTAGGAAAGGAAATGGGTATATTCTTCCTTTGGAAAAAAAGTGCAAAATATCTACTGTTGTTTTGAGAAGCATCGGTGCTCACTTACAGCTTCGTGTCTCATGATGAAACAAGAGGCTTAAATAACAAGGACAGAAATAGTGGAGTGTTAGCTTACTGACGAAAAACGTTTGCCTGTTGCCCTTTCCAACAGTTCTGTGAATTGCCTTGGGGTGTAGATGGTATTCCTCTTCCTGGAACTTACACCAGTGTGTTGTTGAACATAGACACCTATAGTCTAATGTAAATGCAAATTTGGGCCCAAATATATATGGATTCTTAAATCAGTCTTATGAAAATGACTAGAACGTGTTCTTATTTTGGAGCTAAGTGCATTTAGATCAACCTAGTGGGAGAACATAGGAAGGATAGAGTGCAGTACCTTGCAGTACCTGTAGTCATGACGTTTAATCCTGTATCAACCTCCCACATTTGAATAAAGAGCTAAACTTCCAGGTTGTAGTTTCAGGAAAGCATGTAAATTTTGTAACAGTCCAGCTACGTATGAATGGTGTGATGCACCCAAGATGGATATTGCAGTGGTCTGTAACAATGAATGGGAAGCAATTTAGAAGGGAACAACCTTCAAGTCAGCAAGTTGACTTGGCAGGCCTGTGATTTTTAAGGAGGGTTGACACTTGCAGAGTGTTTGGGCTTAT